ATCAAATGCCGACATTTTATCACGTTTGCTTTAGCACTCTCTCTCTCTCTCCCCCTCTCTCTCAACTCTCCTCTCCTCTCCTTCCCACACCCTGCCTTCTCTCATAAGTAATAAACAATTCAAACCTTTTTCTGCACCTAGTCTCACGCTCCCATCCTCAAAGGTAAGTTAGCTTGTATCCTTTTTGTCCTTTATTGTGTATGTTTATGTAATATATGCGTTTTTATTCCAAATTTAACATTTTTCTCCCAATGGAACCCTTAAGAGGCTTTAACCTGCAGTACTATTAGTCCTGACATTGACCATCAGAATGGGCTTAGTGAGCAGTCTGCGGCCTCGTTTAGCTGAGAAGTCCGGAGAAGCCAGGCTATCTTTGCTTGGTAGGATTCTGAATCCAGGTTTTCTTGGTCGTGTCCTTCTCAGCCCCTCTACCTAAACCCATATAGCCCTGTTGGTTGATGCTTTTATGATTCAGTTTGGAGGAAGGGCATTGGGGAAAGGAAGTGTGGCTTGTGTTTGAACCAAAACCCCAGTTAGGACTGAAAGGTGTTCATCTTCCTGAAATACGATATACAAAATCTTAGATTGATTTCAATATTTATTTTATTTAACACTCACACAATGTTACTGTACAGCAGGAATTGATCTGAGAATCAATATTGCTCCCATCTAATTTAAGCTTTGCATCTGTAATAAAGCTATTAGTTCATTGTCCCATTTTATAGGAAATAAAACTGAGGTGCAGATGAGTTAAATAAATTGTTCAAAGTTACACAACTGGTAAAGTGTAGCAATGAGATTTGAATCCAGCCCATCCTGCATTTCACGTGCTAGTGATAGCTCCTGTAACAAGGTGAAGTCACCACACAGCACTGGAACAGGCAATTTATAGAGGGAGGAGTAACTGTGAACTGATTATTATTTGTTTGAAATATGTCATTTTGAAATTACAAGAGCCATACATACAACAGTGCAATTAATACAGTTATATAAAGAGTTGTTCCTCCTCTTCTGCTCAGATTAAACAAGACTGGCAGGTGGGAATGCCCTTACCCTTCTCTCCACCATAATATGTACACAAGCTTTCTCCACCGCCACCACCACCACCACACGCTCCCTTACAAAAACGATAGCTTATCCATCAATTTCTACAGTTCATATTTTTTCCCTCGGCAATAAATAAAGGCTCATTTCCCCCAACACTAAAATAGAGATTTAAAATTTTCAAAGAACCGAATAATAGTCCACAGAATATATGTCCCATGATTTGTTCAGCCTTTTCCTTACTAGTAAGTAGACATGAATTAGCGTTTATGCCCTTAATAAAACACCTATCCTCAGTGCTAGGATGGGACCTCAGGGCTTCCCTAATCCACCGCAATGCCTAGCCGCTAGGGACAGCGACACAAAGAAGCGCAGTCCCCAGCCAAGCACCGCCCCTCGAGCTCCCACTCCAGCCGGGAGGAAGTGGGGAGGAGGAGACTGCTCGGGAAACCCCTCCTCTCCTCTGGCTCGGGTCCCTCCCCGCTCCGGGCTCAAAGCTCGCAGCTCGGCGGCTGGTCAGTGCTCTGCAGGGAAGCCCCTTCCCCGCCAGACTGTGCGTCGCTCGCAGCGGTACGCCCTGTCCCCTCCCAGCTGCCCGGTGGAAATTGCAGGGAAACCTGGTGAGTGGCCCCCTCCGAAATCATCGCGGGCTGGAGAAGGGGCCGCTGGTGGTGGACTCGGCCCAGTGTTGGGGGCGGGCGTGGCGGGAAGGCGGGGGGCCCGGGGGCCCTGGCGACCTGCGGTAGCCGGCGCGCCTCGAGCCTCACCGTGCCCACATCTGGGCCAGGGGCTCCCGTGGCACTGTGTGACCGTGATTTTTCTCTGCTCCGGTGCTGCATCCCCCAGTGTCGCATTGCTCCTGCTTTTCAGGTTCTTGCATTGATGTTTGCGTGTGCTTGCTTTGTGTGGTCGTGTTCCAGACAGGCCTGACCTCGAGAGGCGGCGTGTAATCCACGGCTTTAGTAGATGAGAAAGCCATAGCCCAGGGAGGGGGCTGGGCTTGCTCAGGGTCACACAGGTAGCTGGTGACCAAGCATCACTTCTGTTCCACTACCCTCTGATCTTTGAAAATAGGGTCTCTGGGACTAAGATCCCTCATTCACTTGCACTGTCCGCTGGAGACTGGCGTGTGAGAGAGTGGAGGTGGAGGAAGGGGCAGTGGGCTGCATACCCCTACTTCATACAAGAGCTCGGTGCCAGCACCCTGGAGAATTCGCTGCCAACCAAGCAAAGCTTTTCCCTCCCATCCCCCCAGCCCCTGGCCCCAGCCCCTCCTCTGACGTCACCCACAGCTCTTTACTGACTGGCTCAGAGCAGTGGAGGAAAGGAGGGGAGAGGGGAGCCAGTCCAGGCTCCAAGCTTCCTACTGACAGCCCCTGAGAATTTGGGACGACCTTTCTCACACACTGCCCATTTGGTAACCCTCTTAGGCAACCTAACAAAGTGCTAGGAGGAGACAGCACCTGGACTTGAAAAAAAGCAAAAAATAGATCTCTTCAATCCTGGGCAAGGGCTCCTTAATTATATTGTTCTCCTGAGAGTGAGCCAATGGGAGAAATGACAAATATGAGCAAGAAAAAGACAGAAAGCTCCAGGGAACACATGATTTGAGGAGTATAGTAACATAGAAATAAGAGAATTAAAAAAACAAAGTTTTGAATCCTTACTTCTGTGGGCAAAGGGAGAGGTGAGTGAACAGGGGGCTTCCAAGATATTAGAAAAGGTTTGGGTTCTTGGTTTTTTGTTATTTTAATCTGAGTGGGTAAGTAAATGGGAGTTTGTTTAATGTTTTAAGTTCTTATTTTACTGTCTGTATCCTTCCATGTGCATTACACATTGTTTAAGATGCATGAATTAAACCATTTTTCAAGTTAAAATTAAAGAAGTAATATGTAGAGGGAATGTCTTGGTTTGAATGCAAAAGAAAGGGTTGAATCAGTTCCCAATTCTGATTGTAGAAGTTGGTGGCCATTGGACAAGATACTGGATGCACAAAGGAAAAGAAACAAAGGGTTCATGGAAAAATTATGAAGATGAGAATTGGAGATCTGTGTTTTCAGGGTCAGCCTGGCTATTTGCTGAAGGTGTGGTCTTAGGTTTGCCCTTACCTACACATCCATCATTCAATCATCCATCATAAAATACCTATTATTTCTCCTGGGAAATGCAAAAAATAAAATGCATTCTCTAACCTGACTTTCTTTAAGTCTCAGGATCTGATTGTAGCAAGTTCAAAGGGACCACAGGTGGGAACAGGGGAGAAAAAGTAGGAACCACAATTCAAAGGACGCAGATTTGTTTGAAGACAAAGAAAACATTTTACCTCTTCCTCCCCAATGTAATTAAGGTTAGCATGTTGAAATATGGCCTCCATAGATTTTCTATGCATATGAAGACTGGTATTAACAGATGCTTACGTATGCTTAGTGCCTAAGCATGTGGACTCCTGCAACATATTTCCTGGATCTGGATCCAAAATCCACCACTTACCACCAATGTGACCTTCAGCAAGTAGCAAATATTTTGGCCAGAAATTTGGTGGTTGTTGGTTTTTTTTTAAAATCCATTAAATGGGGATAGTGATAATATATATCACATAGGTTTATGGTCAGGAATAAATGACATAAATCATGTATTATAATGCAAAAGCATCAGTAAGTCTGTATTGCTAACACTAATACTACTACCGTTATTGCTACTTTTATTGCCATTATCTTTATCCACATAAAAAATGGGCTCATCCACACTTGGTGAAAGCATGAGCTGAGAGAAGGGTCTAATGGGCAGTTCCTTAGGGAATGTGTGTGGGTGGCTGGAGACATGCCATAGGATGTCATGCTGGGTACAGTGGAGTGTCTGGGTGATATGTGGAATTTAGATAAGTGTGGGATTGGGTTAAAGATCCTAAACCCACAAGAGTGGAAAATGATAGTAGGAAACATTCCTTGTCTTTGATCTGTGTCTAGGCTTTAATTTACCTCTTTCCATTTCTAGTTCCTTACACATATACCTTTAATGTTGCTACATTATATCTGTAAGTAAGGTTTTAGAAGAGCAATGGCTTAGTCTAAGGAGAAGCACATCTTTGAAACCAAATTATCAGGTTACTTTTGAAAGAATGCAGATAGTTTCGGTCCTTAGATTATGACAGTGTCCCCATAGCCTAATAGCATTGGACATCATTAGCCACCTTCACAGTCTTCTTCATCTTCACCTTCTTTTCTGTCTCCTCCTCTTCCTCCTAGTTAATCTTTTTGACAATCTTATGGGCAACATACGTTGTTTTCCATGGCCTTAGTAGTGACATTGGGCATTGTTTTTATAGAAGTGGCCATTGAAATTTCCTTCTCTGTGTATGTCCTCACTTAGAAGAGTAGGATTTCCATAGATAGAAAGATGGGAGAGGGAAAGGGACAGAAAGAGAAGGAAGTAGGTCCTGACCCCAGCTGCCCAGACATCTGAAAGCTGCAGGGAGAGAGGGAGCAGGGGATAAAGCTGGAAAGTTTAAGTTGCTGCTCACCCTTGAGCCTTTCAGACCAGAAGGATGGAGTTAAGATTTTACCCTGTGGGTTTCTCTTTAAGGGCAATAATATGATAAGAGTGGATTTAGAAGAATAAAGGTAGGAACAGACTCTGGTGACTTGGAAACTGGATTGGTTTAGTTCAGACATGAATTATTAAAGACCTAAACTAGGTTGATGGCAGTGCGATTAGAAATTGTGAACAAGTACATCGGCAGGACTTGTGACCAGATGGATATGGGAAAAATAGGAGGAGGGGACATACTGTGATTCTGTACACTTTAACGTCCTGGTAATTTGTAGAGACCAGAACGGACAGGGAAGTTGAGATAAACTTCCCATTAGTCAACTATTGGCTGTATCTTCTCAGTATTCTCTCGCGTGGGTAGGTAGTTAATGCAATTTATCCTGATAGAGATATTTTTTAATTTAGGGCTTCTTTGGTCTTAGGGACTAGCTATAATTGGCCATGTGTTCTTTCAGTGGGGTCTTAAGCTTATTATTTACTCAGGAACAGGATTTTTCCATTAATTGCTGTGGAAGGCATGTTTTCTCTATCAAGGACTTTTTCAAGGGCCACAGAGATATTTAAGAAACCAATATAATTATTAGCACCAGTATTAGCATTAGTCTTAGTATCAGCTGCAAAATAGGAAAATTATAAATTCACAATCAATAGATGCTCACACCAATGTTTGTAAAACCTAACATTAGATTAGATTTTTTTACTTTGCAAAAATTCCTTATTATTTAAAATACTTAAAAGATTTACTCTTTTGTGTTATTTATTTATTATTTATTTATTGTAGCACTGAACCCAGGGCCTCTCACTTGCTAGGCTAGTGCTCTACCATTTCAGCTCCTAGCCCTTAGCAATTTACTCTTAACTGAGTAAGTATAAGCATATATGTGTATGTGTGTGTACATGTAATTAAATACTGATGAAAGATTTTGGAACTCACGGTGAAGAAGAAGCAAAGGATATTTGTGAGTTCACAGAGAGACATACCTTCTCAGCTGTAACCCAGGTGCCAGTAAGACTTTGCTATCATTTCCTAGCTTCTTACCTTGTTCTGGTTGTGTGGGACTTGGATTGAAGCCACAGACAGCTTCCACTTTTCTCTTACTCAGCCTGTGACTTTGACCAAAAAACCGTCTCTTGGACATCTCTTAGTCTCTTAGTCTGCTCAGATTGAATTTCAAAGTGCTCCAAGTTGAGATTAATAAGACCACTGTGGGGTGTAAGAAGGCTGGGACAAGTGTCACCTGTTACACATTGTATTAGTTTCCAGGCTGCCACACCATATGATCAAAACTAGAGAGGCTTTAAACAATAGAATTTTATTCACTCACAGTCTGGAGGCTTAGAATTTCAAAATCCAAGTTTCAACAATGCTGGTTTACTCTGGAGATTCAGAGGCAGGATATATTCCATGCTTTTCTTAGCTTCTGGTTTTGCCAGCAGTTCTTGGTGCTCTTTGACTTATAGACACATTATCCTGTTTTCTGCCTCCATGTTCTGATAGCAACTTTCCTGAATGTCTCTGTCTCTCTGTATCCAAATTTCTGCTTCTTATAATGATATCAGTCATTGGACTAGATCCATCCATATCTAATATGGCCTCATCTTAACTTGATTACATCTGAAGAGACCCTATTTCCAAATAAGTTCACATGCACAAATACTAAGGGTTAGGACTTTGAAGTATTTCTTTAAGAGACGTGATTCTACCTCCACTCTTGTTTGTTTCCTTCTGTGTTAGAAAAGTGTCATACTAATTTTTACCACCAAAAGTTTAAGAGGCCAAGACATGAAAAGGTCTCCTGGATTGTAGACACAGACACTGAAACTTGAATCATTTCAGTGTTTTACTATCCACTGAGTGGCAAGACTGCCCTAGATAGTGAAAAGCCACTTTGCTTGTTTTTCTGGTTTGTTTACCCATTCTTCACCAAGCTGAAACTTTGCTTCTTTTCTCTACAGAAACCGATAGAGCCATGGCGACTCCCTCTGCTGCCTTTGAGGCCCTTATGAATGGAGTGACAAGCTGGGATCTCCCTGAAGATGCTGTCCCATGTGAACTGCTTCTTATAGGCGAGGCCTCATTTCCTGTGATGGTGAATGATGTAGGCCAGGTGCTCATTGCTGCCTCCTCCTATGGTCGAGGTCGCCTGGTGGTTGTATCCCATGAGGACTACTTGGTGGAAGCCCAGCTCACTCCCTTTCTTCTCAATGCTGTGGGTTGGCTTTGTTCCTCCCCTGGGGCTGCCATTGGTGTACACCCATCTCTGGCACCATTGGTCAAAATCCTTGAGGGCTCTGGAGTAGAGGCAAAGATTGAACCAGAAGTGAATGACTCCCTGGGAGTTTACTGTATTGATGCCTACAATGAAACCATGACTGAAAAGCTGGTCCAGTTTATGAAACGTGGAGGGGGCTTGCTCATGGGAGGCCAAGCCTGGGATTGGGCCAACCAGGGTGAAGATGAAAGGGTTCTGTTCACATTTCCTGGGAACCTGGTGACCAGTGTAGCTGGCGTGTACTTCACTGACAACAAAGGAGACACAAGTTTCTTTAAAGTCTCCAAGAAGATGCCTAAGATCCCAGTCTTAGTTAGGTGAGTACCTTACCCCAGTGGAAGTCGGTCCCAGATTAAAAAGCAGACATGGCTTTTATTGCCAGGTTGTTTCCAGGGTAGCAAAAAGGAATTTGAAACTTTGATTTACCACAGGTCAACTAGATTTTTAAAATACTCCAGGGAGCACGGTCTTCATTGCCACTGTCTTCCTAGACCAGACCATTTACCTCTTCAAGAGGAGGAACTCCTTATTGACCATTGTATCCTTCAGAGTCTAGCCTAATCACCATATTGGTGACCCCAAGAGTTGGCATGATTAATTCAGGAAGATACATAGCATTTTTATTTTGACCGAAAAGGAAAACATAGAAAGAAAAAATAAAGGACTCCACAGGCCAAAAGAACTTCCAGCCACATATGGTTAGGATGGGAATAAGAAGCAGAGTATTCAGAAGTTGAAATAGTGAAGTGGATGGTACAAGGTCTATGTGCTAAATGTAGGATTTAGGAGAAATCCTTAAAAAATAAGAAAACTGCCAAATTAATGGAGATAAATATGAGCATGAACCCTCAAGTAGTTTGCAAACAATATCAAGGCAGATATTGTTATTTAGAATGAGGATTCACACATCCCTGGAGATCACTGAGAGTTACATGCTAGATATATGTAGCATAGCATAAATCATAAAATCAAAAGTTGGTTAGTTAAATAATCAATAAAATTGATAAACTGCTGGAAAGACTTATATGACTATATGAGAGATAACACAAATTAAAAATTTCAAAAGTGGGTAATGAGATTTTAATATAGCACCTGTAGACATTAAAAGGAAAATAAGAAAATATTGCAACTTTTATGCCAATAATTTTGTCTATTTAGATGAAATAGACAGAATTCCTGACAGACGCAAATTGCCAAAATAGACACAAGAAAGAAAAAAAAAGAAGAAAAGCATATGCCAAATAAGTTGAATTCTAATGAAAACATCTCAGCACTAAATGCAGTTCAATATCCTGGATTACATCAGCAGAAAAACTGAAATTTATATAAAGGCTAGAGTTTAGTTGAAAGTATTTTACCATTGTTAGAATCTTAATTTTTCCAAGTATACCATATGTTAACACTAGGGAAACTGGGTCAAAGGTATATACAAACTCTGCACTATATTTGAACCTTTGAATTTTAAAATTTCAAAATAAAATTTATTTAAAACCAATAATACCACGAAGAAAACACCAGGCCCTGATAGCATTACTAATGAATTTTACCTAATGTTTAAGGAACAAATTAAATCAACTCTATATCTAAGCTCTACCATAAGTTGAAAAGGAGGAAAATTTCCCCAACTTGATTTATTAAATGAGCATTTTTCTCATACTAAAACCACAGAAAGACATTGGGAGAAAAGAATCCCTCGTGACATGGATGCGCAGTTCTTTTTTTTATTATTATTTTTCTTTTTTTATTGTTTATTCATATGTGTATACATTGTTTGGGCCATCTCTCCCCCCTATCCCCCACATCTGCCCCACCCTCCTCACTTCCAGGCAGAACCTGTTCTGCCCTCTTCTTCAATTTTGTTGAAGAGAAAACGTAAGAGATAACATAGCATTTTTGCTAGCTTGAGATAAGGATAGCTATACAGAGAGATTCCTAGCATTGCTTCCATGCACATGAATTGGTGTAAATTACAACATGAACTGGTTCATCTCTACCAGACCTCTTCACTACTTCCCGGTCACCTTCCCATAGTGATCTCTGTCAGTTTAAGATTACTTTATTATCTCCTCTACAGTGGGCACATCAAACACTTTCAAATTTTAGGTTTCCTTCCCTTTCCCTATTCCTCCTGTATACATTCTCCCCTTATCATGTGATCTATGTCCAATAATATTACTGCATTTGCTTTGGGTCTGTAACCTGCACATGAGGGACAACATACGATTTTTGGCCTTCTGAGCCTGGCAAACTTCACTTAAGATGATGTTCTCCAGTTTCATCCATTTACTTATGAATGATAAAATTTCATTCTTCTTCATGGTGAGTAAAATTCCACTGGCATAAATACCACATTTTCTTAATCTAGTCATCAGTAGTGAGGCATCTTGGCTGTTTCCTTAACTTGGCTATTGTGAATAGTGCTGCAATAGACATGGGTGTGCAGGTGCCTTTGGAATAATCTGAGTCACATTCCTTTGGGTATATCCCCAGGAGTGGTATTGCTGGATCATATGGCAGATCTATGTTTAGCTTTTTAAGCAGTCTCCATATTGTTTTCCAAAGTGGTTTACTAGCTTACATTCCCACCAGCAGTGTATGAAAGTTCCTTTTTCCCTCACATCCTCACCAACATTTGTTGTTGGTGGTGTTTTTGATGATAGCTATTCTAACAGGAGTAAGGTGGAATCTTAGTGTGGTTTTGATTTGCATTTTCTTTATGGCCAGGAATAGTGAGCATTTTTTCATGTGTTTTTTGACCATTTGGATTTTATCCATTGAAAAAGTTCCATTTATTTTGGTTGCCTACTTCTTTATTGGTTCATTGATTTTGGGGGAGTTTAGTTTTTGAGCTTCCTGTATATTCTGGTTATCAGTCCTTTGTCTGATGTATAGCCAGCGAATATTTTCTTCCACTCTGTGGGTTGTCTCTTCAATTTAGAGATCATTTTCTTTGTTAGGCAGAAGCTTTTTAATTTCATGTAGTCCCATTTGTCCACCCTTTCTTTTAGTTGCTGGGCTGGTGAAGTTCTACTAAGGAATTCTTTGCCTAAACCTATTACTTCCAGAGTATTCCCTGCTCTTTCCTGTACTAACTTCAGAGTTTCGGGTCTGATATCAATGTCCTTAATCCACTTTGAGTTGATATTAGTACAGGGTGATAAACATAGATCTAGTTTCAGTTTTCTGCTGGCAGATAACCGCTTTTCCCAGCAACATTTGTTGAAGCAGAGCTCTATTCTCAATTGTATGTTTTTGGTGCCTTTGTCAAAAATTAGGTGGGCATAGCTGTGTGGATTCATATCTGGTTCCTCTATTCTGTTCCACTGGTCTTCATATCTGTTTTTAGGATGCACAATTCTTCATAAAATATTAGCAAATAGAAAATTATGCTATATCATTACTAAATAGGGTTATAATAGGTGTAGCTTATTTAACATCTATTTAACCTGTTTTAACATCTAAAAAACTAATTAATTTACCATATTAACAGAAAAATGAGAAAGTTATGTAATTCAATGGATGCATAAATCCCTGACAAAATAAAATGCTAAATCATGATAAAATTTCAGCTAACTAGAAATAAAATGGAAGTTCTTCAGTTTAATATGAGGCCATCTAGTTAAAAACATCATTAATGGTGAACTACTGAATGTTTTACTCCTAGGATTGAGAACAGGGAAAGGAAAAGTACCTTCTCTCATCCATCTGTTTTGGATTGTACTGAAGCTTTATCCAATTCAATAAGAGAAGGAAAAGAAGGCATAGAGATTGAAAACTAAGAGATAAATTTGTGTTTGTATATATACAATTGTATATACTTATACACAATTTCACACTATACTAGTCCCTCTTATTTCTGGGACTTATATTCCAAGACCCTCAGTGAATGCCTCAAACTTCACATAGTACCAAGCCCTAAATATAGTAATTTTTTTCTTATATACACATAACTGTAATAAAGTTTAATCTATAAAGTAGGTATGGTAAGAGAATAACAGCAACAATAACAAAATGGAACAATTATACAATATGCTCTAATAAAAAGTATGTGAATGTAGCCTCTCTCAAAATACCTTATTGTACTGTACTCATCCTTCTCGTCATGAAATGAGATGACAGTTCTTATGTGATGAGGTGAAGTGAATTAATGGCATAGTTATTAGGATGTAGCATTGCATTACTACTACATAAGGGTGGATTGCACACAAACACCGTGATACCCCAACACTCATTCTGATAACCATGATGGCTACTAAGTAACCAAGGGTGGGTAGAATATGCAGTGGAAACACTGGACCAAGGAATGATTCATGCCCACCATGGAGCAGAAGGTGAAAGATTTTATATTACTCAGAATGGGCACTAATTAAAACATGAATCATGTATTTCTGGAATTTTCTTGTAAATATTTTTGAACCACAACTGAAACTGCAGAAAGTAAAGCAGTAAATAAGGAGAGATTACTGTACGTATTTTCTAGAACAGTGAGTAAAAAACACAAGGAAAGTTTGACTCAGTCTTAGAAAATAAATTACAAAGAAAGCAAAAAAAAAGTATTTTAGACATTTAGAAGATTATTAAATGACAAGGTTCATTGTAACATAGTCAGCAAAGCATTTCCTAGAGTAGAACTATTTTCTACTCTAGATGTATGTAAACAAAACATAATCATTTATATTAAAAAAATCTACAGAAAAACTGTTGCATTAATTGACTACAGCCAGGCTGTAGGATACAAAAATCAGTTACATTTTTATATATTAAGCAACTAAAATTGGTAATTGAAAATAAATATGCAATCATTTATAGTAGAACCCAAAATTATGAGATACTACAGGTTAAATTTAACAAAATATGTATCAAGACTTATAGACTGAAAACTATAAAACATCACAGAGATAAATGAAACAAAACCTAAAGAAATGGAGAAATTAGCACTGTTGCTAAGTTGTCAGTTTTTTCCCAAATGACATACAAACCAAATGGAGTCCCATAAAGTTCAAATTCATTCTGAAGTTAATATGCAATATATTATATATTATATATTATAATAGGAGGAAAAACTAAAATAACTGAAACGTATTTTGAAAATGAAGAACAAAGATGGAAGAGCTATATTATCTAATTTCAAAACTTTCTAGAAAGTTGAAATAATCAGCACTGTGATACTGGCAGATCAATGAAATAGAATAGTTTACAGACAGACTCTCAAATTTATGGTCAATTTTTTTGGTTTTTTGAAATAGGATCTTGCTATGTAGCTCAGGTTGGCCCCAAATGTACTATGTAGTCCAGGTTGGTTTTGAACTTACAGTCCTCCCACCTTCGTGTTAGGGTTGGGATTACAGACATGAGCCACCACCATTCTTGGCTGTGGTCAACTATTTTTTGACAAAGTTGCCAAGGTCATTCAATGAGGAAATGACAATATTTTCAACATATGATCCTGAAACAATTTGATACCCTTGTGGAAAAAAATGACTCATCACCTTTATCCTACACCATACAAAACAAATACTTCAAAATAGATATAGACCTAAATGCAAAAACAAAAATTTCTAAATTTCTAAATGAAAGCAAAGTAGTAAGTATCTGCAACCTTAGGTAGGCAATGATTGCCTACATAAGACACAAAAAAGTACATGACCATGAAAGGATATGATTGATAAGTTAATATTTATTTTTAAATTTTTAAAAATTGAATTTTTTATAATGCTCAATTGGTAAGTTGAACTTTACAAAAGTATTGAGTTCTATATGAGCACATGATAAAAGCGAGAGCACACAAGGGAGGGGTGAGGATAGGTAAGACACCTAAAAAACTAGCTAGCATTTGTTGCCCTTAACACAG